TTAGGTACCTATTCAAAGTCTTAGACATGTTTTTAATTAAGGTTGAAGTGGTAAAACCTGCTCCATTTCCTCGAGAGGCAAGTAGTTTCTGGTTTTTGTTTGTCTCTTTCTTTGAAATCATGTGCTCGTACCACATAATATGTGGGTGTACACTTTTCTGGAAACGATGTGCCCATATCAAACAATATATGTGCGGGTTGTACACTTTTTTCTATAATTGTGTACTTATTGTATCTTTGTACAACTATCAAACTATATTTGGACACGTCACCGTGTAACATGTGAGTGGTACACTTAATTTATTATAAACATATTTTGGTGGAGCCATCTAATTGTATATCTACATATTACCATGTAAAATTTGGGTAGTATGCTTTTTTTATAAACATATACTTATATGTTGGTACAATTGTCCAATTATATTTCAACACGGTCGATATGAAAGATGACAAATGACATGACTTTTTCGCGACAATCGAGGTACGACTTTTGACGCCAATATTGTACGTCGGATGCCCTGACGTGTAAGATGCCAAATCTTAAGATTAAGTAGTCATAGATCTACCGCAACCAATAAACTGCGTCTTTGGTACGAATTGACCATGTCAGTGAATCTTCTATTCGCTCATAAATAACTCAATTTTTAATTTTTTTAACACATTTCTTGCTTGCGTTGGTGACAATAATGCATGTGAAGTTTGTACTCCATACCCTTGGGAAAACTTTATTGATTGTGATTTTTAACGCTAATAATTGTAACCATACTTATTGAGGTGGGTGTGGCAGGAACATTGGCAATTGGGGGCTAAAGGTAGCATCCAAGATATAAAAGGTTAGCTGGTACTACCATGTCGTTCAAGGTTGCTGGATTGGTGAGCATACATATGTACTACTAACTAGCTTTCCACTTGGCTCATCCAAAAAAGGACATGTTTAAGGTTAGTCGAGTAAAGTGGCCACAGAGCAGGATGCAAAAAAAATGTGCAGTCCACGTGAGTGACGGCGTTCCGATCTCGATTAGAGCCTGTAATAGATGAGTAACAAACTAGAGTAAAGACCATTTGCTTCCAAATTTGGTGCTCCGAGTCATGGCAGCACTTGATCTTTAGTATCTAGTCCTTAACGATGCACCGCAATCACTCTGATCTGCTTTCGTTCTTCCCTCTTTGCTGCATCAGCTTAGCTGTATGTACAGGTGTTCTGGGATGATCGACTGGACAAAGCTGGAGCCATTGATTCTCCCTGCGCTTTCTTTTTTCTCAAGCTAAATTGAAGCATCTTCCTTTTTCCATGTAAGCACTTGAAAAATACTTCAGATTCTCTATGAGTATAAGTCCAAAATTTTAAAATGTACATACATGGTGTAAATATTTGGAACAAGCTAGCTTTATTTACAGGTGCACGCGCACTCACACATGCACATCCCGGTCACATATGACTCTGCTAACTCAACTACCACGAGAGGCTGCCAGGTGAAAAATACTTGACATATAACTAGGTGCAATGCACCTTAATACTTCTCTTATATACTCTGTCTTCGAAGGTAATATGTTGCACCCTTAGTGGAGCCATTCTCTATGAATAAAGCTAAAACCAACATCAAGGAGCACCCTTAGTCTCAACCCCCCAAAAGTTTTGAATACGAAATCAAGTCACTACAGTTACCTTGTTCTTTAGTTCCATGTTTTGTTCATGGATAATCTTTATTTCCTCGGAGAATTGGATATTCTCTTGATGGAATATATATCCCTACAAGCTCACATTATTGAATACCATGTATGGATGTAACATTTTAACTTAGGGATAACTATATTTTTCGTCCTCGAACTTTGGCAATAGTGTAGAAATCGACCCTCGACTCCGAAACCACTACAACTCAGTCTCTCAACTACTTAAACCGGATATTTTTCGTCCCTCGCAACACGTAAAGTGGTTTTGGTATGACGTGGGCCCGGTTTTGACTAAAACCATCCAGGTGGCTGGTTTTGACCGCCATGTCACTTAAGGGACTAAGTGCACCCCCGGCTATCTGTCTCCCTCGCATTCTCTCGATCCCCTTCTCTCACCCATGAACCCCAAACCTAGAGGAGGCGGCGACGACTCGCTCATGGGTTGCGGCAACGTCGGCGTCGGCGACTCGCTCATGGGCTGCTGCGGCGGCGGCCGGCAGTAATGTGGGACTTCGGCGGCGGGTGGCCTGGCCTGTGAGGCGCGACGGTTGCTGGCTCGCTGGGCACGGGAGCGGCGCCCTTGACCCACGACAAGAAGCTCAATTGCTGGAGGTAATTTGTGCCTGCACTTGTTGCAATCTTGTTGGAATTTTGCAAGTAGGCCTTTGGCCCAAAGCCCAACTAAAATTCTAAAATTCTCTTGGCCCATTTATGCACACATGTGTGTGGAGTGAGTGAGACTAAAGTTTAGTCCCACCACGGAAGTTGAGTGAGAGTTGTACCTCTTTATAAGGTGAGCTTTCTACCACTTGTATGAGCATGAGAAAAGGAAACCTACACGCGTGCTCCTCCTTCTCGCCACGTCATGACGCGACGAGCCGCGCCGCGGGTTGCGGGATTGAGCCGAGCCGAGGACAGAGCTATGCACGTTGTCTATAGTTTTGCTTCTCGGAAAAATTAATGAGTCATTAATTAATAATTAACGGACGCGTTAATTACTGAACTGTTTCCGATTCTTTTGGATCGTGACGACTCGGACGTGGGGTTTACTCCCACGACCTACCCGGCCCGCACTATATAGTCAGACAGACGTCTACCCTAGCCTCCACCGCTTCGTATGGTTTCGCACCACCGTTCCAGATCATTGCGCCGCCAAGCAAGTATTCTCCATCCCTCCTTTCGGCGTGCACCGGGAGAAGGGACAGCAGGCCCCGCCTCTCGTGATCCTGTACGGGAGAGGGGCGATCAGGTTTTTGGGGAGCGCACTCGCGCGACTGCTGGCAGCGACGACTTCGCCAACGACGACTTCTTCCCCGACCTCGGCAACCTCATCCTCGACGACATGGGCGACAACGTCAACGCCGGCGGTGCTGCTCCCGCTGCACCGTATGTGATTCTATCCTTCCTGTTCGAGATCGTGGTAGAATTCATGTTTCTAGTATGTGCCTTAGATGTGATCTGTTCATCTACTATGCTAGTTTGCATGATTAGTTTAATCTCTATTATTGCCGTCATGATTTATCCTCTGTTTATTCGGATTAAATCTCGTAGTAATTTGCTCATGTTTCCAACTAATCTTACATTCAGAAGGGCACGCCTCACGTTCTGTTTGTGTCTCTTGTATGAACATAGGGCAGTAAAATGGATCCTGGAGACGTGATGTTCATCCGATTTCATTTTGAAGGCCAGTTTTTGAATGATGGGAAATCACTTGAATATAGTGGGGGGAAAGAGGCCATATCATTCGTTTATCGCAAGAATTTCTGTTTTTTTCGATCTGGTTCAGAGTTTTGGTATGCACCGCCAAACAAAGGATGACAAGATGTTTCATTGGTTATATCCTGGAAAAGAAATGATTTGTGGTTTGAAAATGGTTGCTTTAGACACTGATTGCAAGCAGATTACAGATTGTGTTGCTGTTGGAAGTGTAGCTGAAATATATGTGGAGCTATATCCAAATTCTGAAAATGACGAACACGACAGGGATCCAGGCAGAGATGTTGAGCTTCTGATGGGTCTGAATGCTGGTAGTGAATGTTACATCTGGTGCTGCAACTTCTCATGTTTTTGGTCTAAAATCATGTTTGTGGTTTGCTTGTAAGACTAATCAGTACTATTTCTCATTTACTTTGTCAACTTTGAGAATTCCCTTGTGATTTGCTTGCAAGACTAATTAATACTATGTTTGTGGTTATGTCAGACTATGTTTGTCATGCAATCTGTTCAGTTTTGTACTCTGTCCAATCATCTATGAACAAGTGAACAATCTCCCATGCATTCACTTTACAGAATGGTCTCAAATCATGTGAACAATCTGCTATGAATCCCATTCAGTTTATACAATGGTCTGTAACTGAAACCATCTAGTTAGCATACAATCTGTTGTTACCAAACTAGACAAACATGCGACTGAAATGCTCTGAGCAAACCCATTTTTTCATAAATAACATAGGATACGTTACATGGAGGTCAAAACCAGGCCATGTGGGCGGTTTGAGTCAAAACCGGGTCCACGCCATACCAAAACCACTTTAAGTGTCCCGAGGGACGAAAAGTATCCGGTTTAGATAGTTGAGGGACTGAGTTTTAGTGGTTTCGGAGTTGAGGGGCGATTTCTATACTATCGCCAGAGTTCGGGGATGAAAAATATACTTGGTAGTACCTATCGCCAGAGTTAGAAGATTATCTGGCAGTACCATGTTATTTTTGGTTGTTGGATTGGTGAGCATACATATGTATACCTAAATTTCCACTTGGCTCATCCAAAAAGGGACAGTTTTATGGTTACCCAAGTAAAGTGGCCACAGAGCACGATGCAAAAAATGTGCAGTCCACGCGAGTGATGGCGTTCTGATCTCGATTAGAGCCAGCAATGGATGATTAAATTAGAGTAAAGACGATTTCCTTCCAGATTTGGTTCTCTGAGTCATGGCACCACTTGATCTTTAGTAAGTAGTCCTTAATGATGCACACTGCAACTACTCCGATATTGTTTGATTCTTTCTTTTTGCTGCATCAGCCCAGCTGTATGTACCTTCAGGTGTTTTAGGATGAGTGGACAAAGCTGGAGCCACTGATTCTCCCTGCTGCTTTTTTATTTCAAGCTAAATTCAAGCATCTTTATTTTTTCCATTCAGTTAGCACTTGAAAAATACTTCAGATTCTTCGTGAAAGCATTTTGAACAAGCTAGCTTTTATTTACACAAGCACAGTCGCACACACACACGTACGCACATCCAGCTCACGTATGACACTATTAACTCAACAACCAGAAGAGGCTGCCAGGTTGAAAATACTTGAACTATAATTGGCAGCAGCCAGCAATGCACCTTAATACTTTTCATATATACTCTGCCTTGGATGATAACATGTTGCACCCGTAGTAGATCCATTCAATGCATATAGCTGAAACCAACATCAAGGAGCACCGTTAATCTCAACCCCCAAATTTTGAATACAGAATCAAGTCACTCAGTTACCTTGTTCTTTAATTCCAAGTTTTGTTCATGTATAAGCTTTGTTTCCTCGGAGAGTTGAAAATTCTCTTGATGGAAGATATATCCCTACAAGTTCACATTATTGAATTAATTACCATGTCTGGATATAATGTTTTAAATTATATTAACGCAAATTTCAGGTGGTAATCTACAACTAAGTAAAATTGCACACACAAATGATAGAAAAATTGGCGAACCTTTTCATTGAGTTGTACAATATAGTTGGCAAAACTTTGTTCCTAAAATGTATCAGGAGACACAGAGTTAGCATCATTCCATCGAAAAACATATTAGCATCATGATTATGGTGGAAGGTATGATGATCAACAGAAGTAAGAACATACTGAGAGAGCCGATTACCTTCTTCTCTCTAATACAACGTAAGCTCTTCTCTAGTTGATTTTCCAATAAACACAAGTCGTTGACTCCTAGGTTTGATAATCTCTCCCCCATTAGCTTCCTGTAAGTCAGACAATGAGATGACTTGAATGATTTTCCATGTTTACTCAAGCTGATTTAAATTAGATAGATAGTACTGCAATTGAATTAAGAACTTTGACCGATGATGATCTTGAAGTATCTGCATTTCCTGCTGTAATTTCCGTACTTCACCTTCCCAAAACTAGCAAAAATATGAGATTTTTTCTATTACCAGAAACTGAGTTACTGCAAAGCGTTACAAATTCATATCACAAATTTCGTACAAACTAATAAATTAATGATTACGAAATGGTACTACCATGAGTATTTGGCATATAGGCATAATGAATAATTTTCCTGGCTTACAGTGTATGCTAAAGTATGTTCATATGAATACTTGGTGCACTTTTTGTTCTAAAATAGACGACACTGATACACATCAGTAAAAATTAAGCTTCTCTAATTTCACTATCAATATAAAAAATATTGAGGTCAGTCAAATGAACATAATATCATTACATTTGTCATGACAACTGTTTTATAGTTCCATAATTTTACTAACTTGTTTGTATGAAAAGATAATGGTTTTTACCAAGGATATCATGTATTTCGGAACATCCGGAGTACTTAACAAGGTTACGAGGCAATATGCGTTCATACCATGATTTGTGACACTGGATTCAACAGCTGGTGGTTCTCCTGTGCAGATTGGTACTTATGAATGATGGAAGGCATGCCCATGGTGGTGGTGGTGGTGGAGCTGGCATACTCGTAGAGGCGACCGGTGGAGGAGAAGACGATGACACCGACCTGGACATCACAGAGGATTGCCAGCTCATGTGCCTTCTTCATCAGGCCATGACGCCGCTTGGAGAAGGTGACCTGTCTGCTGCTCATCTTCTCAATCCTCCTAATCACAATCTTGCCCCTAGCCATGCTAGCTCTTCGATCTCCTTAACTAATTGATTACTATACATATGTTATTTCAATTTCTCCCACCAACGCTCACACTATATAAGCTAGCTAGGTAGCTAGATCTTCACTTCAGTAGTCCAATAGATGGTTGTGTGTGTAAGCATGTATCTGCACACCCCTATATATGAATGAACCGGATGAAGACTAGGTGCTCATCCAAACATGCAACTTGCAGATTAACAATTTTATTTTGTAATGAGCAAAGGAGGCAGAGTGCATGGTGATCAATGATCTTGATCCCATCATTCCCTTAATAAATAGTGTAACTTGCTGCAATCCCTGGAGACTGTGAAGGGGCAGGGAATCCCTGCAACAATAGTTTTTTGTGTACCGTACGAGGTTTTGGAATCCGGTAAACATCACGCCTTGTGTCGAGTTTTTTGCACAGTTTGGCTCTCGATCCACACAAATATCGGAGCAGATTCGGATTCGATTGGATTCCTGCCAATGCGCAAGTAGCACCACTTTGTCGTCAGCAGTACAAATTCCAGAACGGAATCACAAGTTAAATATATATGGGGTACTGATCCATCTGTTTCAAAAGATAAGGCTTTGACCAATAATTACTACTCCGGATGTATTGGTCAAAGCCTTGTATAGATGCAAAACGTATATTCCATAGTGGCCTTGTATATAGAAATGAAGGGACTACTTCTTAGATTGTCGAGAGTAGTTGTGTCCTCTAATAATATCAGAAGTGAAATATGCATGGGCTAATAACTGATCTTCTTAGATTTTCTGAACTGAGAGGGGCTGTAGGCACCAAAGTTTGCCGCTAACAGACGCATATAATTACGTCAAGTTCATGTAGGACAAGGCCGCCAGCACAACATTTCGCATATAATTACGTCAAGTTCATGTAGGACAAGGCTAATAGACGCATATAATTACGCCACTTGATTGTTTTGCCCTAAATATTAATTAGCACACATATATACCAAGGATAAAGACTGAAGTTCAGACAGAAACAGAAAATTCAGATGACTGAGAACACCACATATTAGGATAAATGTGCATCTTGTTCTTCCGATTGAGCATAATCATAAATATATATAATAGCTGGGGTCACAAGTTCTGGGAAACTTTATTCGTAGAGTATGGTTTGATAATTGCTAGTGGACAATATCTTTAGCCAGATGCTGGATTCGAAAATCCTAGTGCACATGCATGATGAGCTCATGAGCTCGTGTGGTTGTGTGGTCATTGTACAGGCAGCTAGCTCAAGGAGGAAAACCAACTTGATCCACAATGGGACAAAGGGGCAGTACACACATTCATCTCACGGAGAGTGTCTGCTAGCCACACCTTTATATTTCCGATTTTGCTAATCCTCGGTTGACTGAAGTTTTAATTTGCCTCAGTCGATTTCATGGAAAGCCCCGAGGCCGAGTCAGGAGTGACATGGCGCCAGGATCGACGAAGTGGCTGCGCCAAATGAGGGGGGCTGAATGTTGTTAAGTCTTGTTAGGGAGGGCCGGTGCATGAGGATACAACATTTTAGCAGCAATTAAGCACCTCTTCACATGCATCGTAGACATGCCCCTGCGAGTCCTCCATGTCTCTGCCACTGGGTATCGCTGATGGAGGAGAGTCAGATGTTGACGGGTACTTCGGATGCGTTGCAACGAAAGGGAAAACAATCATAATCTCCAATGACTATGACCACATTTTGTTGCATCACTGAGATACACTATCACTCTATTTTTCATTGAGACATTCCTTTTTTTTAAATAATTGTATATATTTCACACAAAAAAGATAATTGAATATACTTTGACCGTAGTCAATTACAAACATAGCACAGACACATCATCGTCGAGAAACCGCGGTAGACAACAGGTGTCCCAACACAAATCCAAAAATACCTCCAAAGAAAAAGAATATACAATCCGACCCCGGGAGGCTTAACGCAAACCAATCCAGCACGAGTTGCTAACTGTCGCCGCCGTTGAGACTAACAACAAAGAAAAAACGCTAAAAGCCACCAAAGCCTCAACCAAGGGCACACCATAGTCCCAACCGGCTTTCTGAGTCGAATATGAACCCCAGCGTGAACAAAGAGGCGTTGCCATTGTGGCACATCGAACGGGGATCAACCCCGTGCATCTCCCCAGCTCCAACTCCAGCACCTCCATCCGGCAAAGTCAAAGAAGAAACACCATATCTGTAGCCACAAGCCACCAACAAAGTACTGGGCCACCAAATCTCTCGCCACCCGCCGCGACCTCGTGAGAGCATTATCCATGTAATGTATTTATAGACAATGTGCATGTATAAAGTGTTACGCTTCAATCATAAAAACATGGTACAGTTTCTCCGTGCATTGGATTTGTGTTGGTGTCAATTGCATCTTCAGACATAGACTAACAAAAGAAAAGGTGACATGTTCATTCCCATCATAAATAATTGGTTAATTTAAATATCTAAATTACCTTTTAATTTAATTATCCATGTGTAAAGAACCATTACCTTCATTAGTTGATATATTCTTGAGAGCCTAAAATCTTGAGGATCCTACATGTATGTACAGTAACTAAGAAAATAGATGAATAAGAAATTGATGTTTATTGGTTTTTTAGGGATAATTGATGTTTCTTGATATAAGTTAGCACATGCCCATTAGTGATTAAAAAATTCCTTCTGATCTTGTTTTCACATCAGCCCTATAAAGCTTAAAGATTACCAAATGTTCATAAATTCAAAAAATGTACATGTTTTCAGAAAATGTTTAGAAATTTCAAGTTCTGTTCAAATTTCAAAAAATATTCTTGTTTTAAAATAGTGATTGGAATTTTCTAAAAATGTGTTTCTTAAAATAAGAATTTTCAAAAAAAGATTCTTTATGAAAAAATTCACAAATTCAAAAAAAATTAGGAATGTAAAAAAATTTCGCATGTTTCAATAATTGTTTAAAATTTAAAACAATGTTCCCTCATTCAAATTTTGTACACAAATTCAAAAACGGCCATGCTTAAATTTTTTTGTCAGGAATTAAAAAAATGTTCAATTTTTTCAAAATTTGTTCACAAATGGAAGAAAATGTTCCATTTTAAAATTTACTTCCTCTATTCCAAAATGTAAGTCTTTTTAGAGATTCCAATATGAGCTACATACGGAGCAAATTGAGTGAATCTACACTCTAAAATATGTTTATATACATCTGCATGTAATTTCTATTGAAATCTCTAAAAATAATTATATTTAGGAATAGAGGGGAGTATTCACAAAATGAAGCAATGTTCATATTTTTGAAAAAATATCATGTTTGTCAAAAAATTGGTAATTCAAGGAACTATTCTGAATTTCAAGAAATGTTTGTAAAAAACTAATAGTATTCCGATCTACCGTGGCATTTAATTCTTCAAAATTCACATGGGTATAAAGTTACAAAGACTCACAAGATCTACTATTTAACTGCATGCCTCCATGCGCAATTGATTGCTAGTTCTATTCCTGTGTAGCACACCTATTTTATAGTTTTTTTTTCCACTGGTTGAGTACGGCTGCTACTCCGTGTGCCCGCCCAGGTGGAGGGATTCCCAAACATATTTTTCCAGCCCGTACTATGTGGGCCGGCCCAGGTGGGGGGATTCCCCTCTCTGTAACATTTTTTTAGCCGCTACTGTATGCGGGTTTCCTATTTGGCGCATAGGTCGTGCCCTAGGGACATATCGTATCCTGTTTACAGCTGGCTTATTTTTGGATTTCTTCCTCAACGATTTTTCCCTGAACAGATATTTTGTTTTTTCCTCTATTATAATTTTTTTCGTTCTTTCTATTTTTTTTAAACACCTTTTAAATTTGATGAACATTTTTCATAAAATCCTGAACAATTTCTAAAAATTATGAACATTTTCTTAAACTCGTTAACATATTTGAAATCAAGAACAAAATTCAACTCCGTGAACATTGTTGCGAATTTGCGAAAAAAATTCATCATGAAATTTTTTTGAATTCATGAAAAAATTATACTATTTGCAAACATTATTTAAAATTGTAAATATTTTTATGCATTTTCTTTTGAATCGGTGAACGTTTCTAGAATCGACAAACAGTTTTTTGGAAATTGGTGAACAATTTTTGAAACTAGAGGATAACCTGATAAAGCTATGAACCTAGGGTAGGGGCATGGACCTGTCCTAAGTACCCTACCCAAGGACATCCCTAGAAGAAGTCACCTTTCAATCGACTTGGAGGTATCCCACTCGACGGATTCAAGACACTCGACCACGAAGCAATCACTCGACCAAGATCCAACCACTCGACTGCCAGGAGATCTAAAGTCACCCTGCATGCAAATGGTCGGTCATTAAGTAGTTTTTATGGTCATCATAGCACTTTATTAGGGGCGTTACCACTAACCCCCAGTCTTAATGTACTTTAAACCCTGCATTACTGAGGGCTGGAGGGGCCTGGCGAACTCTATATAAGCCACCCCCCTCCTCAATATTAAGGGTTCGCACCCCTGTTATTCATACACACATAATTCAGTCGACCGCCTCCGGGCACCGAGACGTAGGGCTGTTACTTCCTCCGAGAAGGGCCTAAACTCGTAATCCTCGTGTGCTTACAACTCCTCCATAGCTAAGATCTAGCCTCTTCATACATACCCCCCTACATCACTGTCAGAGTTAGAACCACGACATAACCCACGCGTTGTAGTAGGAAAGTCAGGACTGATTTAGGGAGATATGACAAGATGAAAATTGGTAGTGTGTGTTATTTAAGAGAGTGGCATATTTCAGCTTAGGAAAGTTACATTGATGCATCTTATCAATTCCAATCTCATCAAAATATTGAACTGCCGCTTTTATCAATAGCTCATTCAGGGGCTTTGAAGAATATTTCATTGTGACATACTCCCTCCGTCCCAAAATAAGTGACTCAACTTTATACTAGATTTAGTACAAAGTTAGTATAAACTCGAGTCACTTATTTTGGGATGGAGGGAGTATTATATA